CTATCGCGTTTTTTCCATCTGTTGTTGAGGAGGAGGAGGGTTATTTTTTGACGAGGATCTAGAAGGAGGCTGTGCACTACTGTGCATATGTCAGTGTTTATGTACCTGTATCTATTTATATACATACTTGATCTACATATTACCTAACTATTGTGTGGTGTTTTGTGGAGGTTGTGACGTCGCGGTGGCAAGGGGAGATGTCGAGTGGTAGATTGGAATGTTCTGGGGAGCCGACTGTACTAGTTTACTGATTGCTGAAGATTGGTACGTAAGTGCGAGGCTAGTAACTGACTGCAGTAAAATTAAATCACCGTTTGAGAGATTGAGTTCTACACATATATAATGGAAAATACCGGTATCGTGGGGACAATCGTTGACCTCTGACAGTGTTGGTTGTGACAGGGGACCATTGCATGTACTGATACGGGGTTTAGGGAAAGTTAGTAGTGTTAATACAAAAGTTTTTGGAAGATAGCTGATAACCTCGCTAGCTAAATATAAGTGATGGATAAATGTTTTATTGGTATTTTTGTTGACGGTGTTCTTATAATAGCATTATATTATCACGGCCGGTCATAAGGGCGTTCACTGCTGTAGATGTATACTTCCTGCTCGTAATATACTAGTTAGAGCTTATGGGTTTATGATGTCGCGGATCAGTGCTCCCTCATAAATGGCCCGAGCTGTTAGAAGGAGGTGGTTGAGGTAATGATCAGTGCGAGCTTTGTCGCAGGACGAGTGATGGGACATGATGCTGGTGTTCAAGGATAATTTTTGATAATATTCTTTAAATAGCCAAAACAATAGGAAAGAGATTGTATTACATTTAGTTTATCTAAGTCTCGGGGGTTTTCAAGACCACGGCCGGATACGACAAGATACTGCTTCCAGAGTGGTCGGACGAGCATCACGAGCGATCACTCGGTCTTGGCATTGATTTACTGTTGAAAGGTAGGACGAGTCTTAGAGTTTTTCAATCGATATTGATGTCTAAAGCTAATACAAGCTATCTTGTAGAAATCTGGACTGGGCAGGGCACTATGAATTGGAATCCTCTTGACAGTGGGACCTTTACTATCCGATACCTGTTCGACACCTATTCGATACCTGTTCGACACCTATTCGACAGCTGTTCGACACCGTGACCTTACTGCCTTGAACGACACCTACATATCAACATCCACCGAGCGAAAATTTACGCTCGGAACCTACGCCTATAGTAAGCCCTTACCATCAAATAACTAATGTGATAGCCCCTAAGCTCTTGTCAGACCCTCGATATCACCCAGAGTCAAACAGTGGCGAGGAACTTAAGAACCATATGTAAAAATGCCCTCTCCCCTTTACATAGAAGGGAAGGGGGCATAGACATATGGGCGAGGAGACTTAACGCAAAAAGGTTCCCCGTATCTATACAGGAGAGGGCCGGGGAGAACTAAGGAAGCCCCCCCTCAAAAAAAAAAAAAAAATAGGGTCAGCTCCCCACCCCCACACGAAGAAGAGGGGCCGACCCCCAAAACACTACTGGGCCGAAGCCCCACCCAAACCACCGCCGCCCAGAGGCGGGTGTTGTGGCCCGGGTGGCCTACTAGCCATGGTGGTGTTCCCGCCCGGGGGTGGTTCCGGCCAACAACACCCACCCCGGGCCGAAGCGCCCACCCAGCCGCCAGATCTACAAACCCCCTTTCGGGGAGGGCCGGAAGTGCTGGCAACCATCTCTACTCCAAGAGAGAGTAGATAACTCCTATGATGCTGGAGAAGGCACGAGGATTGATATTGGTCTTATAAGTGCCGGTGCCAAGGATAAGTTTTACCCTTTGGCCGCTGTTTTCTCTAAGTGGTTAGGCAGCCTTGGTGGTTAAAAAAGTAGGTGCTTGGCGCAATTGCGTTAGAGAGGAGGATAAAGGGAAAGGTCAATGATAATTTTTACAAGATATGACAAGATTACTCAACACGACCATATCAGATTAGTATACAGCGAGGGACTTGTGGGTTTTTCTGGGCTGATAGAGAATTTTGGACTTGTGGGCAAAATCGGAGTTTGAAACATAAGTGTAGAGAAAATTTTAATTCCACCACACCAGTGTACGTCATATTCATCCCTTCCTATGCATAATCTATGTACTCAAGCCTAATGGTAGGCTTAATCAATTAATGGTGATATCTTGATCTTACTGAACTGACGCTGTCCCCTAATTACGGTCGAATGTGGGACTAAACCGAGTCTGATCATGACGTTTCACCCCCATCCATATTTACAGTATGGATAATCACGCCGGAGATATCACAGGATTGTTCTACGCAATATGGGGGACTCTTTTCCACATACGAAAACTACTGATGGAGGCAAGTCAGCCCATTCGAAAATTGGTATTTATGTTAGTTCTAAGTTCTAACCCAATCATGAATCAGTGCTATCCATTAACAGCCTTCGATAGCGTAAATAAACTCTAATATTGTAATATTCATGAATGAAAACGCCCTTCATGAACTAAATTTTATTCGTCAATCTCAAGACTAACTTACTCTTTTGCTAGTCTACCTTCTTTATCTACATTCGCTACTTTCGGATATAGTTAGGGCCAGTAGAGTAGAAACACGCATTAGTATGTTATCCGAGAAATTAAAGACATCTGGGAAGGCTATGTACTCCCTAAATATTGTTCTGCGTGTTTATAACCTTGGTGGGCCGACAAGATTTACATGTGGGTGGCCCCTTTGTTGATACATGGTCAATGGTTCAATCCATAGCACGTATGACGAATTCACCTGGCTGGAAATGATATTTAGACGCCAAGGCCGGTCGGAGGCGCATAACCGGTTTAGGTACTCTAGTACATATTAATGCTGTCATAGTCCTCAGTTTATCAACTAAATAACCTCATTTCCAGGACGGCCAGCAGAGAAAGGTGTTTAATTCTCTCAATGTAATCTTATATAGAGAGGAGCTCTCTAAACGCTGACATTGCCAAATATCGTTCCGTTACAACGGCCGTTTCCCCAAAACTCAGTTAAGAGGAGATCGTGAATGTTTGGCAAGCCACTTTTGGACGGAATTTTCAATTGGGTGTTGGAACGGAGTTTTGGAAAAGTAGGTAGGGCCTATTTTCAGGCGTTGCAATCACCAAATCCTAAAACCCTCACAACTTGTATTTGATCGTTCTGAGGACTCAAACGTTTGCAACCACCTAAGCCATTACATAACGGAGTTTAAATAGACCATTAATTATCATATATCACTTTTGAATGCTGTGCTTAAGAATACGCCCTCGAATACATAGAATACAATTATTCTTTACGAGTATTAATTTCTCATACCAATGATGATGATACCATGCAGGCCAAGGTTACCCTAATCATGCAGGGCGGTCTTAGGTATTTTCATCTAGTTTTAACACCTCTCACAGTCGTTAGCAAAAAAAATCTATTATTATTATATATAGCTCACTCTTGGCATTTTTTTATTAATTCTTAATAACGCTGTTCACTACTGTACTCTACACAGAGCTCCTCCACCGCTTTCAACCGAACCCATCTACAGTCGTTAACCGTCGCTTGACGAATACGAACAGGGGATTTTGGGCCAAAAGAAATTAAAAGAACTGGAGATCTCGCAGCTTGGCTGTTGCTTGACCGTTCCTTTGGAATCCCTGTTCGTCAAGTGGTAGTATTCGTCAAGAGACGGTGAACGACTGAACAATATGACCGATCGTGAACTTAGACCGTTCTGCCTATTAATATTGGACATATTGAGAATCCTTTTGGCGTTTCGGGACTGGGTCTGCGTACCACCAAAATATGGTTGTTATGCACGATCTACGCCCATATGCATCTACATACATGCCATATCCCATGGACGGCCAGTCCGAACCGGAAGAAAGAATTAGCTAGATAAAGTAGTTGTGCTGTGCTGTGCTCAACGCCGTGAGTGCTCAGCGCCGTGAACGTTTATTCTCTGATTGAGTCGACTATCTGTACCGGGTGTTGAGTGTAAGTGATCAGAATCTGATAAGTGAATGTTGCGGTGAATACGTGTGTTTTGTCTTAACAGATTCTGATCACTTTTCGCTACACCCTAGTACACGTTAACGCGCTGCACGAGTGAATGTCAGCATGCAGAGCGCAAGTGTTTACTGGTTGAGGTTACTTTTGTGATTGTGAGTTGGACTGATCGTCTAAGGGATTGCTACCTAGAAAAAGAAAATCAAGAGGGCGAAGACAAGGCATTCAGTGCATTTTAACTTATTTTGATTCGCCCGGAAAAGCACCCGCGGGCGGCTAGGTTTCCTTCACAAGCCGTCACTCGCACCTAGAACCAGCGCCTTCCAGACTAATCGCCCTATTGCAGCTCAATAAATGCATCTTCTCTATTCCCTATTATAGCGATTAGTGCTGATTATCTATATAGATTGCCTCTTGGAGCACCTTCGTCGGTGTGTACACACATGCACGTAGTTTCCTGCAAAGTGCACTCTCGATCATTGGAACTTTTTCAGGCAATCAGCTAACGGACCTGTGTGGTTGGAGCTTGGTAGACGTTTTCGCCCCTCTTTTTCCAACCGGACAGCTCGCCATTTTGGGAAATCAAATATTGGGGGCCTTGCCAGCACGATAGGCAAACATTTATCTCAGCCTCATATATGTAGTTCATGAGCTGTCATATCTGAATATAAGAGGGGCCCGGTCCGTGGAGTACAGTACCCCCAACATCACCCCCAGCGGTCTCATCGCCCTAGAGAACCTCATGTATTCCAAAGCCCTATACATCTCCTATCTCTTTCTTACCATAAATTCCTCCACCGGACTCAAAATGAAAGGAGCCAAAGACGGTGAAGCCAAGGACATGGGAATCGGATCCCCCTATACAGCACAGCGTAAGATGGCTCCATCACCGTTGAATATATATATATCATCGTGTGTAAAAGCTTTGTGTGCTTTCAGGTGCTAACCCACCAAGCTTAGGCACAATGGGTTCCATGACGGGCCCCATAGCCGCCATCATGCTCGCCGGAAAGACCGGCTCCGGCAAGAGCAGCTTCGTCAGGATGCTTGGTGGCCTCGACGTTAATGGAAACGAGCCAGTTTCCGATGGCGGGCTCGAATCCTGTACCTACCGCCCCCCTCCATGCAGTCATAGTCAGGCTTAGGGGCTTTCCACTAACGCATATACACAGGCACGACGAAGCCTACGACCTACGTGACCAGGTACAACGGCCGCACTGTGCTGCTCCTGGACACGCCGGGTTTTGATGACTCGGCTCTCGACAATCTCGCGATCCTCACCGATATCGTGTCGAACCTCTACATATGGGCGCTGCAAGACAAGGAGATACACACGCATGGCGTGGTCTTCCTTCACGACATCAGCGAGACACGCTTCGGCGGCAGCCAGCAGAAGACGCTGCAGCTACTCAAAAGCATGTGTGGGCCGGAGGCGATGGGGAATGTCATCATCGGGACGACAATGTGGTCCGATAACGGGACGAAGCGCCAGGCACAGGTGAAGAGGGAGGGCGAATTTCTACAGAAACATTGGGGGGTATCCTCAAGACAATCAGAGTGCCGGACGGTGATGAGGATGTGGCGAAATCGATTATAGGGGACTTGTTGGCGAGGCCGCCGACAAAGCTGCTGGTGCAGACAGAGCTGCTGATACCGCCACATACGTGTGAGGCGACGACGGTGGGGAGGATCGCGATACCCGAGGGGAAGCGGGAGGCTGAGAGGTTAGCAAAGGAGATGGAGGAGCAGAAGCTGGAGGCTGAGAGGCTAGCGAAGGAGAAGGAGGAGCAGAGGGAGAAGGAGAGAGTAGAGGATCGCAAGAGATATGAGGAGGAACAAGAGAGAAGCAGGAAGGAAATGGAAGATCGTCTTGAGGAAGAGCAAAAAAAAAATGCTGAAGAGCGGGAAAAAAGAGAGGAGGAGCATCAGAGGGAACGTGAGGAGTACGCAGAGAAGCAAAGGAAGGAAAGGGAGGAGTACCAAAGGAAGCAGGAGGAAGATAGAGAAAGGTATGAGAGAGAAAGGGCTGAGGATAGAAGGAGACAAGATGAGGCGATTGCAGCGGCAAATAGAAGAGCCGAGGAAGCGATAAGGCGTGCCCAGGAGGAGCTCGACGACGACGGCTGGTGCCCAATCATGTAAGCCTTTCAATTACAGACCTTTATATACATTCGTAATGCCCGAAATCAAGGTTATTCACTGCTGCGAAATTGTCATGTAGTTTCCGTCTTGTCACAATGATTGTAGGGAAGGCGCTTGGGGTTTTATAATCACTGATCCTCTTATGGTAACATTCCTGTGCCCTGGATTATATATGTGATGTAATATGCGGGTCTGGGTAACAGATGATATTTGAATATAGGCGCCGGCGCGTTGAACCCCTACGATAGCCCTGATAATGGAAGGGAACTGATTGTTTGGACGAAAGGGATCCGGGGCGAGGCTACATGTATAATTCTCGTTTCAAAAATCATGGGACAACGCAACCGCGAGTTGCTATGGGGGCTTGTCCCAGGATTTTTGACATGGAGTTATACATACATGTAGCATGTTGTGTGGTAATGATCTCAAAGACATGTTTTAGCAGCGGATGCTTTTTAATTTGATATTCTCTGTATATACATGTATATACATTTTTACTCATACCCAGACATCCGTGATCATGATGCACCACTACATGTATATACATACGTGTATGTACTCGTATCTTCCTGACGTTTTTGAACTGGGGTCACTATGTATTGCATATACTAAAATCATTAGCTTGGCGTATTTTGTATGCAATATTGTCCACAAACGTCAGGAAAATACGAGTATATTGTATCGACTACATGTATCATGTAAGAAATAGCTCTAGTCTTGATACAGTACACTACATGTACATGTAGTGCAGTATGGTATTTTAATTAAGCCTTTTCACCCTAAGCTTTAAACTTAACCTTAACCTTAACCCGGATGCACGCATGTAGTATGTACCTACATGTACTCTAGAGTAGTGAAACCTTATTCCCAGCCCCGCTCCTGCACTGCCTTCCCGCCCACCCGCTAGCTGTGTGTGCTATGCACGTAGTAAAGACGCCCCCCCCCCCCCCCGCCTCTCCATTCTCACCCCCAAAATCACTACATCGCTATCAACCATCCCCCACCAGACTCCATAATCGAGATATATACCGCCAGTCCGTCAATCCCACCCCCCCGATTAGAGCTCCTCCTTCACGCCCCCGCATCGGGGACTTAATTAGCGCCTTATTACACCCTGCAATTGGACCTAGCTTTTTTGTCCCTTCTATATATGTAGCTGAGCTCCATCACGCAGATCCCAATATCACAACCCCAGCCCAGCCCAGCCCAGCCCAGATACCCTGACAGAATAAACATTAAATAACCACGGTTAACCACGGCTAACTAACCACCCAACTATCTATCTATCTATCTACACAATCTCTACGCCCTCCCAGTCACTCTCTGGCACGACCAACTCAGCTTTCGACTTCCTCGCCCTCTTGGGCTTCGCCGCACCCTGCCCGTCGGGTGGTTGCTCACCCTTTCGTGGCCGCCCTCGGGGCTTCTTGAGAGCTGCCATTTCCTCTACAGGCTCAGGCTCAGGCCCAGGCTCGGGGTCAGTGGCTTTCTTCGACCGCCCTCGGGGCTTCTTGACTACTGCCACGTCCTTGACGGCTAGAACTACAGCCTCAGTCTCGGACTCGGGGTCGGCGACCTTCTTTGGCCGCCCTCTAGCCTTCTTAACTGGCCTACTCTCCTCCTCATCCTCCTCTATCTTTATCTTCACCTCCTTCACCACCTCTTCTTCAGCCACAGCTTGAAGCGTCTTCTTCTTCGTCGTCCGCTTCTGCTTGGTCCCTTCCGCTACACCACTTCTCTCTGCTGCTGTTGCCTTTTTAGTAGTGCGCGCGGTTTTGCGCCCCTTGCTGGCCTTTTCGCTCTCGGCCTTTTCGCTCTCGGCCTCGCTGATGGCGAGGTCGCTGCCGGGGTCACCGTCGCTGTCTTCGATTACACTGGGGAGCCGCCGCATCCGCGGTGGTTTGGCGGGCTTTTTGGTGATTCGCTTTGACTGCTTCTTTTTCTTTTTCGCTGCTGGCTCTGGATCGTCGCTCACGACGGAGTCTGTGTCGGTGTCGAGGTCAGCCATTTCCTCGTCTATGAGGTCTTGCTCCTCCTCCTCCTCCTCTTCTTCTTCTTGGTCCTCTTCTGCGGCGCCCTTTTTCTTTTTCTTCGGCTTCGCCTTTGTCCGTGTCCGCACGCTGAGCTCCTTCACTAGATCCACCCACTGCGTCACACCCCCACACCCCGGACACGCCCCCTCCACCGGCAACACCTCCCCCCTCACCTCCGCCCCACCTCGCCGTCCAAAAATACCCCGCAAGACACCCCACATGCGCCACATGCGCGCACTCCCCATGCGGGCACACCACCGCCGTCTCCTGCCTCGCCTCCCCCTTACACACCGCACACACCACCACCGCCTTACCCCCCAGCACCTCCCGCGCCTTATCCAAATGCGCCCCCAACCCCCCCTCGAAATCCAGCCCCTGCAGGCCCCCCACACCACTCGCACTCCATAGCCGCTTCACGGGCCCGTCTCCCTCGCGCACGCGCTCGTCCAGCGCGACGGCAAGGCCCCGCCGCAGCGGTGTGCTCTCGCGAGAGCACCACAGCTCCCAGCTGCGGTGGACGTCGGCGGCGAAGAAGCGGACGGCGAGAGGCCAGCGCGCGAAGGCGCGCACGCGGAGGAGGAGGTGCAGGCCTTGGAGGCGTGAGGTGAGGCTGGTGGGGCGTAGAGTTTTGTGCGGCCGCTGCGGGTGGGGCGGCGGATGGCGGCGAGGCGTAGGGGGGTGGGGATCTTGGTGCTGATGTGCGGGTGCTGCCAGGCCCATCTGGGTGTGTGTGTTAGCCGGGAGGGGGGAAGGGGAATTTTTTTGGGGGGGGGTTACTCGAATTGGAGTGCGGCGAGACTGGATGGGAAGCCGGCGACGATGCACACCATCTCCCAGGGTTGGTATCTTCTGCGGCTGGTGCGCTTGGCGCCGCCGCGCTGCTCACCGTTGTGTTGGGCGAGGCGGCGGCGGGGGTGTGGTGTCGAGCCGATGTAGAGGGTTTTTGGGGAGACGGTGGAGCGGAGGAGGTAGCTGTTGTGGGGGTGGTGAGTATTGATGCCCCCGTGGAGAAGGGAAGGGGGAGGAGAGGTGCTTACGCGCAGTAGAAGGTCTGGATGGGCTTGAGGTCTTTCTGCGGCATTGTGGACGGTGGGTGGCGAGGTGGCATGAGGGGTGGTGGTGGTGGTGTTGGAGGTTTGGGGTGTGTGAGGGTGGTGGTTGTGAGAGAGGTTTGGGTTGTGGTGTCGTGGAATCGGGGATCTGCACAGGGTTGTGTGGTTGCATGGATCTGATCTGATCTGATCTGGTCAGATCTGGTTGCACCTGCGCTGCACACCCAACAACCGACCGAGTAATCATGGAACGGTGTGTTTTCTGACAGCCCATCTATGACATGTAGCAGTGTCGTATATAGGTGCTCTGCAGGTCTGGGGTGATCAGTTTGTGCACCACATCTAACTAACTATAGGTAATAATATTGAGAGTGGGGTTGGTTGCTTTAATTAAAGGTTGGCCATTAACGTGTTTCACCGGGAAAGCGATCATCACCGGGAAAGCAACCGAACCTCACAAAATGAGGTTGTGGGCACCAAAGCACAATATATGAAGGCAGGCACATATAAGAGGGTTCAGTGTGCCCTTTCCGAATCCTGGAGTTACTTTATAATGAATATAAACCAAAATTTGGTAAAGTCGATAAAGCTTACACTCCCTAACCCAGTCAACGACCTCTCTGAAACAATACTCTCGCTAGATAGAGGTATGGTGCGCCCACGCTTAAAGGTAGCGGGTCGCGACGAAATGTCAATCGCTTAAGGCTTTGCTACGAAAAATGGTAAAAAAAAGCGGAAAGATAGAACTCTAGTTCAAGAGATGAAGTTTTAGTTCTATCTTTGCAGATTTTTGATATCTGTCTGGGTTGAAAAGCCTTAGCAAGTTGAAATTGTGTATTTTTGTATGTAAAATGCGCCAAGACTGAACAAAGTGGAACAGTATTATACCCATTTATACCCACAGAAAAGCAAACCTGACTGATCCGTGGCAGTAATGCAGCAGAACGGCTAGAAATGGGCTCTCTTATTGGCCCATGAGGCCCTATTGCAGCCACAATTGTTCCACTTCCGTATGCCACCATATCACCTTTAAGAGTGTGCGCACCATAAATCATGTCAAAAATATTGGGAGACATCTAAATAACACCTCTGGCTACTTGGCTCTGTAATTGTATATAAATTCGGCTTTCTTCAGCAACTTTGGATCATCCCGTTGTCACCCTTGATTGCTTTCCCGGTGACGATCGCTTTCCCGGTGAAACACGTTACTCTCCATCATTTATAGCAATTTCTGCGGCCGCTGCAGGATATCTGTCTGTGGAGATATCTGGCCAGCTTGTAACCGGGACGAATTGGGTGGTTGCTTAGCCGAGTGACAGTTCATGACCGGAAGACTATCCCTTTGCGTGTACTCAGTCGTATGTAGCGAAAAATACCGCCTACCTGCCCCCCCCCCCCCCCCCCGAAAAAAAAGTTTTGTGCGGCTTTGCTGACAGGTCCTGTCATCTCTTCTCTCTTATAGAATAATAAATCTCCCATATATACAAATCTAATTCGGTTCTTGTCTACTACTAGCTAGCTGTCGCTCTCTGTGGGTGCCGGTAGAGGATTGCAACGAGAGCTAGAGCTAGAGGGGTATGCCTTTCCCATAATCTGCTTCTCTTTTTCAATTCCTCTTGTTCCAGTGGCGCGCTCTCCCTTCCTCGATCATTTTTTCTGGAGGATAGGCCTGTTGAACCTTGGGGTCTAAGTATCAATATCCAGGCCCCTCTTTTTGGCTTGGCCGTCCAGATTAGGGACGCGATGATAGAGATTATTTCACCTACTAAGAGAAAATTCATAAAAACTGTCGGAAGTTGAGCAGGCTCATATATATGGTGGCGCTAATTACTTGCTATGAAGGGTTCACAGTGCCGGACACTTACTTTATTTACCTGAGAGTGGTATCCATAACAACGGGATTAGCGTTGGATCCTTGATCATGAATTATCACTCGATGCGGTTGTCTCAACTGCATGCTCGTAGGCGGGCTGTTAATTTGCCAGGTATATAAGGTCTGTCTGTGGGTACGGCATGATGTGTGGATATGGGCTTTGGTGATATGATTTCGGGTGTGTGATCTGCCGGTAATGCGTATCTACGCTTTGGCGTCTACTTGCGTTATCTGTGTGTGGTGGAGGGCGGGGGAAAGTTTCCGGATGGTACTTGGCGCGTGGCTACGGGCACTCAGTAGCGAGGGGGTGAGAATTTATGTGGGGAATTACATGTATATATGTACTTATGCTTTATTGTCTCCGAGATCTAGGGCTTGGTCTTGCAGCTCGCCCAGCAGGTTGTTCGTTGCATTCTAGCTAGGAGAAGCACCTCCGGAGAGTGGGCCACACCCTACGTTTAATATAGGAGAGTGGCCATGGTGGTGGGATCCGGGGCCATGTAGCTTAGAAGCGAGACGAGTCATTTTCATGTACTCAAGGTGGCCTGCTACTGATCTGCATTGTGCACCTGTCTTCCGGGCCCTCCGCCTGTCATACGTACGTATTCTGCCATTGACTTCTGCACTTGGTGCATGATGCACCGTGCATACATGCATCGTGTTGTACATTAGGCTCCGGAAAATCTCCGAGGCTCATAAAGATTTCGGAGACAAATAAAGTCGCCGGATAGCGTGTTCTGGTCCATCTGTGAATTCGGTCCATCTGTGAATTCATTCCATCCAGAGGGCGAGAAGACTAGCCCAAGTCAATTTTGAAATGGACCTGTAAGTCAATGAGTTACGAGTGGACATGCAGTGCTCACGGTCCGCCCGTTGATCGGTGATTGGACTGCGTAGTCTAGTAGTTCTTATCTATGACCAAAGCCTCTTTGGGGCGAGGCGTTAGTACGGAGAACAAATAATAGAAGAGTTAGTGTATGCCATAAAGTCATTAATATGAAAGGTATGATAGAACACTGAAAGCGAGACCATAAAGGATCTTCTTTCATAGAAGAAAAGTACAAAAAATACTGCAAATTCGCAGGTCCGATATCTACTACTCCCACCCCTGCGACCTTCGATAGGAGGAGCAGGAAGAACCTCTCGGCGTCTAGCGCGCAGGCGAGTTGTGCAGAGAAAAGTAGTCAGACCACTCGTCTATGAGGGTTCTTGGCTACCAGTGACAGTTGAACGCCAAGAACGGTTACAGACGCTAGTGCGGGGGGTCTTCGTCCAGCACCACCGCCGTTTCGGCCGTCTGAGTTCACGATGTGTCGGAAAAACTCATAGTCAGATTTCACCCTTCTATATATACAAAATAGAAAAATTCGAATTTAAAGTATACAGCTAAAACTCGATTGTCTTGTGAACAGTACAGTGGGTTAATTGGGCGGATTGGACTCGAATAGAAGCAGAACTCAATCAATAAACAGAAGCAGAAGTTTCCGTGAACATGGTATGTTTAATAATAGGTGCAGATTATGTCTGTCCCGATTAACTTAGTGAGGAATCTCGTATCCCCATATACCGACATATGATCACTCTACCCCGCCAGGAGGTATGAATACGACAATTGCAAGAGTGAATGAGGAGGATAATAGTAGTTGGTAGCCAAAACTACATGTATATACCACGTTTATGTGAAGTGGATATACTGTGAGGCCTAAGGTTAATCATTGGTAGCGCGGACGGGCGAAATATAAAAATAAATTACGGCTCACCTACAAACCCATAAGTTAATTTGAAAATGGACCACCACCTCATGCACTCAAGGCCTTCAAAGATAGACAGCATTAATTCCCGACGGGACCAGAACAGCGTGCTCTAGTCCGGAGCGTTTTCGCAGTGTTTTCGGGGGCTTTTCGTAGCGTTTTTTACTCGGAATGTTTTCGTAGGGTTTTCGCAGAGATGTCGTAGAGATGTAGAGCTTCGGAGCATTTTCGTGGAGTTTTCGCGGTATTTCCGGGGCGTTTTCCGGAGCGTTCTGCATGTAAATACCCCCCGAAAACCTCCCGTCCCAAGCAAAGATACTCCCCGTAAAGTAAAGCGTCCATTCCAGATAAAATACGATCCGGAAACCCTCCGTTCGACCAATAAAAAACTCTCCATTGATTTATGTCTCCGAATAATAAGTCGCCGACGCTTTGAATTGAGTAAAGCCACGCTCCCGGATTCACTAAACTCCACAATTGATGCTGTATTCTGCCAGGTAAGTGGTGGTCCCACCTTTGGTGAGACCAGCTAGAACGAGGCGGGGCGGGTGCTGCATCGAGAAGAGAATATCCTCGGGCTTGACACAAAGCGCTTTGACTTCGTATAGCATACTGACAATGCCTCAATGGGTGCATGCATGCATTCCGAGAGATGGAGTACCTATTATCTGGAGGTCTCGAAGTATGAAGATAAAGTTTTTAAGTAAAAGAGGGAGAGGCATAAGACTTGTACTTATGAAGAAAGATAGTTGTTCCGTCAATAGTAATATGGTCTAAATAAGAAAGTTAGAAAATAGGAAAGATTGAAATAAGTGATCAAAACGAATGAAAATTGCACCGACTCCGTCGGGCTAGTAGAAGTGGGCTAACCAGGACTCCTCAGTAACGTGGAATGTGAGATGATCAATATTGCCTAATAAAACCGCTATAGGTTAGTTTGAGTAGAGGAGAGCGGGGTAGATGTGAAGCAGATGTCAGAATAAACTTTTGCAGTATAGGCTGCACGTAGAAGACGTTACCATCCGGCGGGGGCGGGCTCATAAGCAGGGCAACTTCCACGCCACACTACCGCAGCCGAGCACTAGTTCAACCCCACTCTTGTCTCATCCCATCCCACCTCCTCTCATCCACCTCACCTACACCCCACCTTCATCCCATCTCTCAACACAATAACACACCTCATCTCTTGTTTACACCCTCCACATTCATTACAACACACAAGAACAGAATCTAACACGCCAACCTAGCTCACCAAAGAACGAACAGTCTCAAGCACCACAGAAAAGCGACTTCGCCGAACCGCCTAGATTTATTTACCACAGAGAATCAGAGACCTCAACGTGGATACCAAAATAGGGGGATCGGTAATACTTGAGTCGGGCCGAGATGCATGCCCGCGTTGGCTGTTGTGTTGAGATACTGGTATTTGCGTACACTCTAAAACGCGAGTGATATTCTGTGGATGGAATTATAACCCATAACCACCGAACAGCAAAAACACTACACCTTATTTAATAGCGCCAGCCTTCCATCAGAAGCCGAGAAGCGCAAACAAAACCACAGTAGAGAGAATTAAAAAAAAAGGATCAGCAGCAGCAAATATTTATATCATCCCTCATCACTGTTGAACCGGTTGGACAGCCGGTCATGTGTGCTACATACTACAACTACAGCCTTACCAAAAACCAGTACTAGCCACTTTAATAATGGAGATGAGAAGGCAACTTTTTTTCGATACCAAGGCCGACTCTATGGTGTTAAGGATGACTCGAAAATCGATACCTCTTGCGCGATAAGATACGAGAACTCGGCGGTACATGCACAGGTTCAAATAGTGTGGATAAGAATGGACTTTATTTACTCTTGTCATCTCCACCAACCAGTTGTCTTTAGCATTTTATATCTTGTCACGAGAAGTTCTCCGAGAACTTATCTCGTCACCCCCCACTACAAGCAACCATCTCTACCGCTTTTAACTTCTGCAGATGCCAAATATACGAAAAATTCATCATCGATTAGTTCGTTTGCTATATTAATTACAAGCACACAGATATCATAAAGAAAATATCACTAGCCCTGAGCATATACAGCTCTCCCACTAATTAAACTTAGCTCTACATCCCTAAACCACCATGGCACCATTTTTAAAATCGATAACTTCAGTCGAGCCAAAAGCGTCAACAGCATCCCCTTCAAATTTGCCCTTCACAGTAATATACCCCGTGTAAGTAGACACCAGTCCGACTGACCCAACCATCTCCTGATCCTTCCTCACACTCTCAATCCTCAATGCCTCTTCGCCAAACTTCACCGTCCATGCAGTAGCATAAACCACATTGTTGAGCCTTGTTGACTTATACCCGCCATTACTATAGTCCGGCTCAAACTCAATCGCCCTCACATCCAGCGCCCCATCCGCCCTCCTAATCGTCGCGAACCTAGTCCTCTGGTATGGGATCTCGCTATCCGCCGCCCAGATACTCAACTTGACCCCTCCACCGAGGTGAGCATGGAACCACGTGAAGTTCCCTGTGAGAGGAAGGCCGGCTCCCCATTGGCGGTCAAACCAGGTGAACGAGTTATCCTCATCAATCGTGAGCTCCTCGCCATCACCAATCTGGAGAGTCCCCGTTGTGAACGCGGAGGGCACGCTGTACTGGTATGTAGGGGCGAGGCCGAGCAAGAAACCTCCCGCGCCGGCATTATAAATGATTGGAGAGGTGGGCTGGAAGGTGATGTTGTAAGAGAATTGAGGGTCCTTGGCCCACGTGTGGAAAGCGGGGAGACCGTCGGATCCAATGGCTTTGAAGCCGTACTGCGTTGGAATGCTGACATTTAGGAGCCCGCCAACACTGATGGCGGGGACATTCACGATGGGGATATAGAATTGTTTGTAGAGTGATAGTGTGTCTAGGTCGAGAAGGGAAGCTCGGATTAGGCCTGGGGCAGTCATGAGGTGGGAGATTAGGAGATAATTTGTGTTGTTGGAGGATTTGAGATAGGTGGCAGCCCACCAAGAGCCAGTTCCGGTGTCAGTGGATGAAGCGAGAGGCTGGCGGAGGTCATAAAGCGCCGGGAAACTGATCTAATATTGGGATGTCAGTATATCTTTCCAGGCTCATTCTTTGGAAATACGTACTCCGAGTGGTGTATCGAGAGAACTAGTTCTTTCCGGGATGAAGGCAGGAATTGATCCCCCATAGACAACGGCTACGGAGGTGAGGAGTAGGGAGCTGGAGAGAAACTTCATTTTTTCTTGGTGTCTTTCTTGATTATATCTCCCACGGTGATATCGTTCTGGAGATAATATATCTGAGATGGAACCACGGTCAAGTTGGGAGGGGGGCACTAGACGTTATTTATGGCCAAATACCAATACGGGTCAATGTCCTTGCCATGCCGGAAGCTTTCTTCCGGCCCGTGGGTAGCCCAAGCCACGAAAGAACCCAACCGGCCAGGCCCCCGAAAAATTAGATAGCGCAAACTCTCACACACACACACAGCAGGAGGACCCTTACAGAATAGTTTGACCAATTGGCTAGGACTGACAGCAAGTGTCTTAAATAATTAGGCAGATAGTTGGCTTTGCATCCCGAATCATGCAGGAAGTGTTCGTTCAGTCGAGGCTTGAGAGATATGTACATATGGGTTTCCCTTGATAAAGCAGCATTCAAAGCGACTATAATTGAGTCAGGTAGCAGCCAACCCCTGATCGATCTGCTGATAGATCTTAGAACAAAAATCAATTGGTGCGGCCATGCCCAGTCAATACTGACCACGGCGTGATATGGATCAATGTGCTACATATATGTAGGTACATGTACATGTAGGCCACAGAAGCAGCTCTTGGGTGGTGCGCATGTGGTTTAAATATAAACGGCCGCGCTGCTAGGCTTAATCAGGAACCCACAAGACATGTCAACACCTGCCAACAGTGGTGTCTATATGTGTAATCACCAGGTTGTAGTTAGTAAGTCATAATCAAAACCTCCGGTTGTAATATCAGATCCCAGGTGCACTTTTTGGGTGGCCGGTGCCATCCCGATAGGCTGCCCCAGATATTCGTGATTTAAGCCTTTCTTGAGCTTGGCAAAAGGAAGATCACCCCACCAGCTGCTATAGAAAATGGGGGCTGGCGTAATTAAGGTTTCCTTGGTAATTTATTTGCCCCTTGGCATGCTTGAAATCTACAATCCACGGAAATTCTTCTGACACGAAAAGGTCCCTTCCCAGGTCGGTATTTGGGGTGTCTTAGTGGACGGATGCGGTTCAATGTCATCCTGGCCTCTGATTGGCCACAAACCTACTACAAATGTAGAAGAGTAATCCCAGGTACTGATGCACACCCCAGCATCAAGCTTGAAGCCGGTACTTCTCGGATGTGCCATGACGTGATGTCCAAATCCACTTCAGGGTGTCAATTATTCCACGTCAAGGGCCATCGGGCTCACGGCGGCCGGTATTATGCCAGCACCACAAATCATACAGCATGTATCCTTCCGGTCAATCAAAGTTCTTCTCGTCCAATCCATAAAATTTATTTTTTTGGTTCTTACTCGGGGATGTGGTATGTAGTTAGAAGAAAAGAAAAAAAAGAAAAAAATGCACGGCGAGGACCAACTGGCTAGATAAATAAATATATTGAGGATTCCCAGAAGTGGCTCCCCGCCGCTCGTAGATATGCTTATTCTCTCGGAAAGGAAAGAGTAAATGAAAAGAGAAAGCTAGGGAAAAACAGATATGAAAGAAAAAAATGGTGGGAAAGGAAGAAAGTAAGGAGAAGGAGATACTGAAGTCAGAATCAGATTCAGCTAAATAGCTGACCAGATTCCTGTCCAGCCTACCTAGCTACTACATACTTGCCTACTTACCTGCCTGTCATTGACACCCCAAACCCGCACACGACCCAAACGAATGTACTCCTCTACCCGTGTTAACCCAATGCACGTTAGCAGAACCAGAAAGGAAAAGAAAGGGAAAAACCTGAACAGATGAAAAGGAAAAGAAAAAAGGAAATCAAAAGCTACTACGGCCGTGAATAAGAATAACTCTGGAAAGAAAAAGGAGTTGAAAAATGAAGAGATTCCCTTAAAGTTTATCCCAGTTGACCCGTATCCCCGCCCAACCGCCCCGCCATCGTTAACACCGCCCCGCAGCCATAGAACCAATGGCCTGCCACAAAAAAGAGATAAAAGAGAAAAGAGAAAAGAAAAAGAAATACCCTCGACCCTCACAATGACATACATGTGGAAAACGTAGGAAAGGTCCTTCGGTCCGATAATTATAACTCCTCTTCTTCCCAGGAGTCCTTCAGATCCACGGTTATTGCTCCCTTGATCCAGTCTTCGTTCTCTACAGCGTCCAACTTCCATCTCTTGGACACCCGCTTCAATAAGCCTTCAACGATCCTCTTGCCTCCTTCCATTCTTTCGTCGTATCCAGGACCATGGCCGTCTAAAACAATCCCCGAGTCACCAGAGTCGTGTAATTCCATCGTTTTTGGTGCCAGTTTCACCCACTTCCACTCGCACCTGGCGATTCTATGCGCCGTCTTACTTCTCATCTTCTGCTCCGAAGACCCTGGAAGCGGGTCGAAAGGAAGTCGACCTTCCATCAAGGCAAACAATAAGACACCCAATGCCCATGCGTCTGTCATTCGCCCGTCATACGGCTGCGCCATGATCAACTCCGGACTGGCATAGTCGTCGCTGCCACAACGGGTGGTCAGTAAGTCATCGTTTTCGAAATCAACCCTACGCGATAGTCCGACGTCTGTGAGTGTAGTAATCGGGTACCGTTCTCCGTATGGGTCGTCGGCAATTTCACGTAATCTTGATCTCGAAAAGTTGATGAGGACGTCTAGCGCAGGCATGTCAACAATCAAAAAAGTAGGGAAAGATCAGATGAAAGGTCAACTACAAAAACATACTTTCTAACTTGACATCGCGATGAACGATGTTGTTTTTATGGAGATATCGGATGGCGCTGACAATCTCGGCAGCCATTCGTCTGATCAATGGGGCCTCCATAGTGAATGAAGTGTCTGAAGCCAGATCAAACAAATCCCCCCGGGGCAGTATGGGAGTATCAACAAAGCTCTGGTGGGCTCTATGCTATAAGCTCTGAGCCTTACCAGTGCTGGGTGGTTGACGCTGTTGAGGATATCCAGCTCCCGTTTTAACGAGCTTTCAACTCTTTCCTTGGAAGCTCCGCCAGCAGCTCCATGCTCAACAATCTTGACAGCTACAAGCTTTTTCGGATCCAGCGAAACAGGCTCTCTTTCTATCGTAATCCCTTCTTCATCCTCGTTGACTTCATCCACCTCCTCAGGCAATTCTTCCGAGGTTGCCAGAATGACTCTGCTGAAAGTGCCGTGCCCCAACAACCTTATTCCGCGCCATCGCTGTACTTTTTTGTCCGGCACCGTCTTTGCCTCAAAACTTTCTAGCTTTTGCTTCTTAATAAGTCGGGCATTGGCTTCTGCGGGGTCTGTTGCAGTATCTACGCTGGAGATGGACGATAATGATGTCGCACTTCCGCTCAGTGCAGGACTCGATTCAGCCGATGAAATGGTCCACCTTCGCTGCGCCAAGAAGTCCTCACGTCGCAGACGCGTTCCACCAGTTGCGTCTGCGTCAAGATTTGCTACTGCTCCCTCGTCACCTGCATTCGCACCGCTCAATGCAGTCCTAAAGAGGTCTCGGTTGCGCCCATGCGGAACTGCCAAAGACGACGAAGTTGGGTCGTACTCGCCGCCGTTGCGGGACACATTGTTGCTATATGTGAACTCGGCACCAGGTGGGGTAGGTCCTAAGCCTTGGTATATCTTCCTCTGGTTCTGCGCTGCGAGCGCTGTCGAGAGCGACTCGCCTGTCGAGGTGACAAGAGCTGACTCTCCGCTTCCATTGATGCTCCTAGGCATTGATCGCGACGTCTGCGAGGGGTGTCGCGAGAGAGAACGGCTCCTGTATTTATTCCATGGACCTGGCGAGTCGCTTGTAATTATGGGAGAGGGGAGAGGGGTCATTCTAGCCAGACAGTCGAGGCCACCTGGTGAGTAAGCGGATGTCGCGGAGGCGGGGGACAACGAATCGACGAATGACGTCGACCGCGATCTCCCCGTGTGACTAGATCGTGTGGACGCCACGATTAAGTTTGATGTTTCTAAGCGGAGACCCGGCAATGGAGTAGAAGATGTAGGCGATTTGTGGGGTTGAAAAGAGTTGCGGGGAAGTGGGGTTTGTGCGGGGGAGTGTAAAGATATGTGCTGTTGGAGCAAGGCAGCATCCTGCTGCTGGTGGTTACTGTCTGGCGCAGACAAGGTGGTCGACGGAATGGAGGCAGGCAGCCAGGAGTTGGGAATGTGAGAAGCAGGGGAGGACGAGGAAGAGGAAGGGGGTGTAGCAGGAGAGGTAGGAGGTGGCAGAGAAGTCTTAGGAGGCGTAGCAGAATGGGAGGAGCGACTAGAGAGGTGATTATGCCCCGAGGAGCTCTTCTTCTGGTAGTTGTAGTTTTGGGGTTGGTGTTGTGAGGACATAATTACTGTACGTTAACTGATCGATTGAGTGACTGATTGATATGACCCGAGTCCACCGTCAGAGGCAGCAAAAGTGGAAGGCAAATGTGTATACGTATGTACCGCTGCAATACTGACTGGCCTTGCACGAAGTCAGGAATTATCGATATAGATAGATTTGAAGAATGTTGCACAACAATGTGCAGATTGCTAAGTATGGAAATGTGGGCAGTGAGGAAGATAGTTTTTGATTCGCTTCGTAAGAATGACTGATTGAGAGATCCGTTTTGCAATGAACTCGGGGTTTTGTCCCTCTGGCAGACAACGTTCGTATAATGCAAACTCGTAATTAGAGCGTTTCAAGTATTCCTTGCTTTGGCTAGAATCGAGGAGCAGCAACGGGTGGTGGCAGTGGGCGTCCAACGTATGCAGCACCCTCTTTGAAATACCCAGAATTACATGTAGGTAGGTGAGGGCATACAACCTATCTGCTACATACATTTTACATTTACCTACTTTTAGCGGGCTGTACACTCATGCCCTTCGATATGGACTGCGTACAATTTGCCAGTATCCTATTCATCTGTGTCTAGCAGCTGTGTGTGTAGGGATAGATACATGTATCTATGATCGAGGGCATGATTAACTTACTCCCTCTGTCTCGACTCAACGAACGGCAAAGCCGTCCACAATCAACCCATGTGGTTCGTCGTACGGCGTGCGTGGGCCCTCGATGTGGTTGGCTACGGAGATAAACGTGGAGGGAATACTGCTTTGTCAAATTGGTGATCTCTCTTGGGGAAATTACTTGATAGACCGGTCTCTCTCTAAATACAGGGTGTGAGTGAGGATCAGGGTTCTCCAGGATACTGCAGATTACCCGTCATGGTGATAGCTGCTCGTGATGATGTCCGAAACACCGGAACGACCACGGTTCATCGGGTCACAACGTGGAATGCCTATTCTACCCTATCTAAAAGGAAGGCATTTGTGTAACTTTTTAAGAAGCAGAGCAGAGTACCGACTCCACAGTAGAGTAGACGATGCCTACATGTATGTAACCATATGGCCATGCATTCAATCGGTTCACTGCGCTTTCCTGCATTAATATTACCATCAAAATTCACCGGCTTTTTTGGACGTCTTGGCCTCAAGAACTTAAGACAATAACCGCTGGCTCTCGACCAATTAAACCCTAGTGAGTTCTTACCTCCTCTGGAATATGTACTGATTGCTTAACTGCTTACTTGCATCTGCATTGAATGTCTGCGCCTAATATTGGCACAGTACGGAGATGAAGGCCCCACGTAAGTACTTTAACTCTTGTTCCTGCCTCGAACCCACTACGCTTACTGTAGTAGCAGTAGGCACATACGATATATCACCACCTGATCAATCCCTCAGGGTAAACTTCACGAGACTGGGTCATTAAAATTGGGTAATAACTGTTGAGCGAGGCTATGGTTGAATTGAATATCCCCTCAAATGTTGAAAATCGAATTACAGTTTCACTACCCGATCCCCTTCAGGTTTCCACCCCCGGCTCCGTTGTCAGTGCTCCCGTCACGTTGACCTTTCAAGCCCGTGTGACTGACGGAAAAATAAAGGAAACGCCATCTGGTGCCCCGAGTGTTTCTCCTCATTCGGACGCGTTTCCCCGTAGCCGCGCGCGGCTCTTGGCACGTGACCACTCTCTTTTTCCATAAACCATTCCATTTACGACAATCCCCGGGGGCGCACGTGGTGGATGATCGATATGTGGGCGCAGTAGCCATCGTCCCGATCGAAGGCATTGATTTTGTGCGCAACCAGCGCTGAGAGGATTATATTGCCGATATCACAACGAGAAATGAGGGTGACCATCTCCGAGTTTTTATCCACTACGCTAGTAAGATTAGAGATTGTAAATTCATGCCTTTTGCCTGTTCAAAATTGGTTATCTGGTAGCTCCAGGGGTTGCCAATTGAACGACTTACCGGGATCTGGTTTGCGGAAATTGAGCTCAAGGATCGATATCACTGCCGAACAGCTGTCTCTCTCTCTCCCTCTCTCGGTGTCACGCTAGCAAATTACCGACGTCGAGCCATCATTTTTTACATCAGGTTCGGATAAACCTTAACATTCGTTTCTCCGAGTGACGTCTTGTGAAAGAAAAAGAAACTCTCTTGAATACATGTACCTATCATGGTATCGATTACATACAAAGCAGAACTTGTGTCGGGTATTAGAGGAGCACATGTCAGTCAGTCGATTCTCTACATCTCTATCTCACCACTCTCAATATTCACACCAGGTATATATGTATTTATTAATTATATAATCCTGTTTTCGGGTTCCTCCTTGAATAATACATATGACCTTAAATGATTCACTGTCGGAAGAAGCACGTCTATCCATGAGAGACATATCGTACTGACTTACATGAAACCAACGAAATTACGATCGGATCATCGGATATCACTCGACGCCACAATGAATATCTGCAAATCATTAATTTCCCCAACATTCCGGAACCTTTCTTGAACTCAGCTCATCACGAGTCTCAAAGCCATTGGATGGCACCCGAGATGTAGTCAAGAGGCCCCAGAAGCGGGACAAATCTACACATCTACTCACGTGACATCAATGAGGCTCTGTTTCGAGTTCTTACTAAGCCAAGACAAAGCTTGGCAGGACGTCGAGCTTTGGCCCACGCCAAACGCAGGAATGGCCAGCATCACAAACACGTACACCAGCAGCTTCACTGTGTCCATAGAGTACCTCGAATATGGATTTCGTATGTAACCCTTACTTTTCATACGGATTTTCTTACCCATAACACGGGCTGAGACATTTCGTACAAGAGGACGATCCTGGAGCTAGCCACATACTAGTAGTGTACAGCTAACACTTGACAATTGCAGTGGAACCGTCTCATCGGAGGATCTGGCTCCTCAAGCGTAGCCAGCAAGCAGCCCCTTCCTACTACACCTCAGCAGCGACTAGCAAAGTTCAAGAAAGTTTGGCAATCGTTAATGGCATGGAATCCAATTGTTCCTATTGGTACTTTTCATGAGAAAGGGTACCAGCTGACCGTGTAGCTTCCACGATCCAGCATACATGGCGCAACTCGCGTGAAAACGACCCAAACTCGCAGGAACAGCTTCGGAGCTACGTAAAACGTCTAACGGACCTCCTAATCGAGGAGGAAAAACGGTCCGCGAGGCTGTGTATGAACTTCTGCTATGAGAACCAGGTTTTCATATTCTTGTCACAAATCGGACAGTCGGGCACTGCGCCAGTGATACGGGAGTGCATCACGGCCTTTGCAACGTTGATTGATAACGAGGAGGAAGACTTTTTGGCCCAGGAGAGTTTCGCCCAGAGTTTAATTGCGTTTCTGAGAAGGACAAGTCAGCATAGCGAAACAATATTCGAGGGCGAGTTTGTGGAGCTGCTATTCAGTATCTCGGCGAAGATTCGACTGAGTCCGGGAATCCTACAGGCTTGGTTTATCACGAGAGGAGATGAGGAAGGTGGTCGGGAGTTTGAAACTTTGGGACCTCAGCAGAAATTTGCAGGGATTACAAACAAGGTGCGGCAAGATTTTTTTCATATATAGCGCGTCATTGAGGACTGGGTTTGGGGTTGCGGGAGGCTTTTTGGGTCTAACAGGCATCTTTCTCAGGACGATTTCCCGCTTTTTTATCTATTGATAGATTATGTCCACCATGAAGGAAGGGTTGGTGACTTTGCGAGAACTGGGCTGCTCTATATCATTGAGGCAGCGTCAACGTCTGGTGATCTAGAGAAATGGATTGTCGAGAGTGATCTTGCAACTTTGATGGCTTCGGGGCTAGGGGCGCTTTACAGCCAGCTTAGCAGGTTGTTCTCTCTGCAACCCATAATTTTGCTGGGCGAACCTGGTTGACGAAAGTTTCCAGAAAACTAGTCGTGACGTATCCCACAGATGATCCGCCGACAATTCTTGTGCTTTCCGACTACTCCTCCGCCCCGCCAACCTTTGGCGCAGAGAGCTCTAATTCACCAGAATTTCAGACGCATCTCGAAACCTTCCTTTCTTATCTGATATTCTGGCAGGATGTGTTGGAGCATTGCAGGTCTGCCGATGTTAAGCAGACTCTTCTCGACCACTTTCAAGTTTTGTTCTTACAACAGCTATTGTGCGTTGACCTTGCCAGTCCAATTGTGTTCAAATTGCTGAATTGCGTAGATATCCATCTCTTCTCGAGTCCTCGGACATAGACGGTGGCTCGTCTGTGGCCGTCTTAACATATGTCCGTGTTGTTCTTGATACTCTTGAGCATCCTGACCTTATACACCTTATACTCTCCTATCTAATGGCTCTCCCTGACAAGCCAAAATCCGAGACCGAATCAATTCAATCACCGTCAATGGAAAGGCGTCGAAGATCACTCGATCTTTTGTCCAAAGTTGCAGCCATGGATGACACACCAACTCCAGACTTGTTTAACCTTGTAGACTTAGTATTAACCAGTCTGAAATCCAAATCTCAGCAAACAGTTTCAGCTACTCTGCGGTTGGTGTCCACGATATTAAGAAAACACCATCCATATTCAGTATCTACCCTTTTAAAGGTTATCCCATATCCCGAGGGAGCACATATGCGAACTATTGGTGCCCACAACAGAGAGATGGAACTGTTGTTTACCCTTGTAGGCGATATATCCGAGGACAGAGACGTTTCAGAGAGTTATAGCCAACACCTCAAGGACAACCTCGTCCTGCTTGAGTCTCACCCTTGTTCTGCGAAGCATCTTAACCTGAAGAATGGGCCTAGCCGGGGAGTACAGGATGATGCAAACCCTCGATGGGCCAAATTGAATGAAATGTATACCCACACCATTCATCCAAACGATCCACTGCTCAAGAATGTAATCGAGCTGCTAAACACGTTCTTTGCAAACACCGTCGAGACAAACTTGATCCTCACCGCAGTTATCGTAGACCTCGCAACATGCTCCTGGATGCGGCCAGAAGGATGGCTTCTATTCGACCCCACTAGCTACGAATTCGATAATAGCGACGAGTCCGACGGCGAAGAAGCCTGGGACGAGCTCGACGATGTCGAAAACGAGCTCGCCGAGATCATGGGCGAAAACACCACCACCAACCCAGACATCTCCCTGCGCAAAGAGCGCAAACGCATCATTGAGCTCAAAAAGGCCAACAGGACCCCAAGGTTCACCAGCACGCCCCCCATCCTGGCAGCCCTCCAGGGCCTCGTCTGCCAGATCAGAACATACCGCCGCGAGATCCCAGACCTCAACGACAAGCTCGCAGAGCGCAAACGCGCATTCCAGTTCACGGACGAGCTCAACGAGGCCCTCCTCTCCAGCCCCCTCGTATCACCACCAATGTCCTCCCCCGTCCGCAACTCCAAGCTCGAAGCTATCACGCCCCGTAACCTCGTGCGGCCATCATCGTCGAACACAGGACGCCAGCGGAAATACTCGGGCGGCTCCCAGCCAATGCAGGCCTCCCGCTCATCGCGGGGACTGGCTATCACGCCTTCACAGGTACGTGCGCTGTCGCCCGCCGCGGCGGTCATAACGGGCGGGAGTCCCAGCAGCCCGTTTAACTCACACGTGACGGACACGACGATGCGAAGGATTAAGGTGCTGCAGCCAGGACAGGCGGGGCTGCATCTGCCGCCGCCACCGGAGGGCGAGAGTAGGGAGGGGAGTGTGTGGAGTGATGCGGGGACGGCGCCGTTTGAGGAGGGGACGGCGGATTTTACGCTCAGCCATTTGTTGACTAATATTATGATTCTTCAGGTATTTTTCCTTGATCTTCCCCTTTTTGTGTGTATGGTGGGGTGTGGGTGGGGTGGGGTGGGGGCTAATACGTGGGTGGTGTAGGAGTTTGTGCTGGAGTTGGCGGCGCTCGTGCAGGTGAGGGCGTCGTTGTTTGGGGATCTGAAGTTTGCGTAGCCACAAAGGGGTGGTTTATACGGGTGGTTGTTCTTTTTTTCCTTTTCCTTCTTTTCCCTTCTTATCCTACTAGCTGCCAACAATATTATCTTCCATGTCCGTCCCATTATCTCCTTCTTGTCAGCCAAACTCCTCTCGTTTTTTTTTTTTTTGATGTGTTTCCTTGCGATATATCCTGTTTTTTTTTTTTTTTTTTTTGCGGAAGGTTAGGGGGAGGAGGAATTGGAGGAGGACGGGTTGAAAGTGCCGGAATTGATATTAGAAATTAAGGGGCGTAGGGAATATTGGGGGGGGGGGTGTTTTTTTATTATCCACTTCTTTGTTAACTACTTTTGCTGCTGCTATATCTAGCTGTCTGTCGATTTCTCGTTATTGCATAGTTAGGTTGGAAACAAAAAGTTGATTCTACTGGTGTCGCGGATAATTATAAGTGAGACTTGCTGATAATATTCCGAGGGTTAGGGCTGGGCTTAAAGTTCCGCGTAAACAACTACTAGTACTGACTGGGTAGATAGATAGATATTTGTATTTACTTGTTTTTTTTTATATATATATTTATGTTTTATTCCCCGTACAAAAATATGGTACATACTCCCAAAAACTGCTTTTGTGAACGACGACGACGACAAAGGAAACAGAAAAACACCCTAGCCCTGGATGGACATGCAGAACTATCATTGATAGTCATCTACCGAACTAACTACAACTAACCCACCACTCTAAGCGTCCGTGATGCATCCGTGGCTGGCGTCCGAGACTTGTCTACACACAACTGTCAGTACCTCTGCTACTAGAAATACTAAATTGGGGATATAGGGTCCAGGGGGGGGCTTACTTGGTATACTTGTATAAAGTCCCCTTCGTATACTTCAACGGCTTCGGCACAAACTCCTTCCTCCTCTCCACCAACACCTCCTCATCCACCAACAAATCCAACTTCCTATCCACCGCATCAATCACAATCTTGTCGCCGTCCCTCACAAGCCCAATCGGCCCGCCCTCCTGCGCCTCTGGTACAATATGGCCAATTAGGAAGCCGTGCGACCCGCCCGAGAAGCGGCCGTCGGTGATGAGCGCCACGTCCTGCCCGAGGCCAGCACCCATGATGGCTGACGAGGGCTTCAGCATCTCCACCATTCCGGGCGCGCCCTTGGGGCCCTCGTAGCGGATCACGACGACGGTCTTCTCGCCCTTCTTGATGGCACCCTGCTCGAGCGCGGTGATGAAGTCGTCTTCGCAGTCGTAGACCTTGGCTTTGCCTTCGAAGCGGAGGCCTTCTTTGCCGGTGATCTTGCCGACGGAGCCGCCTGGGGCGAGGGAGCCGCGGAGGATCTGGATATGGCCGGTGGACTTGATGGGGTTGGAGAGCGGGCGGATGATCTTTTGGTCGGCGGGGAAGCCGGGGGCCTTTGCGAGGTTCTCGGCCATGGTCTGGCCGGTGACGGTCATGATGGAGCCGTCGATGAGGCCCTGCTCGAGCAGGTATTTGAGCAGGGCGGGGGTGCCGCCGATGGTGTGGATGTCGGCCATGACGTACTTGCCTGAGGGCTTGAGGTCGGCGAGGAGGGGGATGCGGTCAGACACGGACTGGAAGTCGTCGATGGTGAGCTTGACGTCAACGGAGTGGGCGATGGCGATGAGGTGCAGGACGGCGTTGGTGGACCCGCCGGTGATGTTGACGACCACCATGGCGTTCTCGAAGGCGGCGCGGGTGAGGATGTCGCGCGGCTTGATGTCCTTCTCGAGCAGGTTCTTGATTGCCAGACCGGCTTCGAGGCACTCCTGCGCCTTTGCGGGCGACTCAGCGGGGTTAGAGGAGGATCCGGGGAGGGTCATTCCCATGGACTCGATGGCCGTGGCCATGGTGTTGGCGGTGTACATGCCTCCACAGGCGCCGGACCCAGGGCATGCATGGCGGATAATGTCGAAGCGCGTCTCCTCGTTAATCTCGCCGGTGATGAACTGGCCGTACGACTGGAAGGCGTTGACGATGTCGATCTCGGCGTTGCCCATGCACTTTGACTTTCCAGGCTGGATGGTGCCGCCGTAGACCATGAGCGACGGGCGGTTAACACGGCCCATGGCCATGATCACGCCAGGCATGTTCTTGTCGCAGCCGGGGATGGAGATGTTGGCATCATACCACTGCCCGCCCATGACAGTCTCGATGGAGTCGGCGATGAGGTCGCGCGACTGCAGCGAGTAGCGCATGCCGCTGGTGCCCATGCTGATGCCGTCGCTGACACCGACGGTATTGAATTGGTAGCCCACGAGCCCGGCGGCGCGTACGCCGTCACGAACGCGGTTGTTGAGGTCTAGCAGGTGCATGTTGCAGGGGTTTCCAGAGTACCAGACGGACGAGATCCCGACTTGCGCTTTGGACATGTCGGTCTCTGTCAGGCCGGTGGCGTAGAGCATGGCCTGCGAGGCGCCCTGCGACTTTGGCTGCGTAATGGTCGCGGAGGTGCGGTTGAGGGGGGAGTCAGAGCTGCGGGAGATGGCGGTGGCGGAGAGGGGGCGCCTGGTGCGGGGGTCTGTCAGTGGGTGTGTTGTGCGGGCGGGGGCGGGGCGGGGGCGGGGATGGAGAGGGGCTTACAGAGCAGACTTGAGCGGGCCATTGCGCTTTGTGAGGGCCGAGGGGAGACTCGAGGGTCTCAGACGGAGGCGGAAGAGCATCGTGATGGCGATTTCCTACTGCTAGGGGTGAGCTCTTGTTTCCAATCTTTTTTTCTCTTTCTTTCGTCTAAAGAAAAAAAGAAAGAAAAGAAAAGCCTGTGAGATGCGTACCTTCCTGGCTTCCTTTCAAAACAGGTCCTGCACTGCTTTATATCCTGGATCACAACTGTGGTAGGTGGGGAGGTACCCAATTGCAGATTGTTGACCAGAGGGGGGAGGTGAGGTGCAGGTGCAGGTGCAGGTGCGGTGGGGAAACGAAAATTAGTTTCTCACGGAGTTTTGAGGTGGTGGAGAGAAAGAGGCTTGACGCTTAGAAACCTCTGTCCCTGATTGGGTAGTGGCCGCTCACGTGATGCGCCCACCCGCTAAACGAGGATATTCATAAGGGACAGGGCCTGGATCGGGGCCGAAATGTGTCCGCTGTGGGGAGACTTCTAAGGTTGAAGGTGGAGAAGAAAATCTCTGAAGCTGGAGGGGGCTGTGTCGGGAGAGGAGGAGGAGCCGTGAGCCTCTCTGTTGGTTCTTTGCGCGTGAGTCATGGATGGTCACTCGGCGCATCGAGCCTCACGAAATGGCGATCGAGGCCGAGAGAGGCGGTGTATTGATAATTGGAAATCGAAAACTTACAGATGCTTTTGACTGTGGTTCCTATCTGGCAGCGATAATAGTATTGACCGACAGCTCAAGTATACGGATATCGATAGCTACTGTGAGAAGCTGTGTAGCACTTGTATTGGTGATGGATATGATGATATATGATGATATATGATGATGATGACGATGAGAAGAGGGAGAGTAACGTTCTCGAGACTACATACATGTAAATAACGATAATCCAAGTCACCTATCATAAAGACAACATGCGGTAGTGCGATAACTTATGCAGACTAGCCCCTCTATCATGACAAGTATTAACTAGGGTTAGGTATATCGATAAGTTCCGCAGCTACAGCAAAGATTCCCCCCCACAACGGCCGGGAAGCCACGAAATACTTATTTTCCAGACCAAAGTATACGCATCTCATACTATATCCCTCACCTAACACACCGCCGTCATCCCCTGCCCAATACTATAGCCCACGATCCCTCACAAGCCCGGTACTGGACAACGAGTGACATCCCGTGATGCACGAGAAGCCACCTCCGAGGCATGCCGACCACCGTCTTACGAACCACGTTAGTGGCGCCTCACGCAGAGCACAGAGAGAAGAGAAGGGGAGTCTCATTCAACCCCTCGGACAGTGCCCAGAGATTGAGTGAGACCCTCTCTTCCCCGAGGGAGGAACCAAACATAGTTCGGCCCCTCCTGATCCCGAAGGACCAAGAGGGGCCAAAGGGAGAGCCAACGCAACTCAGGGCCCTCTTGATCCCGAAGGAACAGGGGAGGCCGAGCCAGAGAGCTCCTAACGTAAACTAGGCCCCTCCAGTTCCCAGAGAAACTGGAGAGGCCGAGCCAACCCAACGCAAAATAGGCCCCTCCCGTTCCCGGAGGAACAGAAGAGGCCTACCGTAACGAGTGTCCCTCCCGACCTCTAAGGGACCGAGAGAGGCCAACGTGACCCGCGCCCCTCTTGGTCCACTGGGGCAAACGCACCGAGCGAAGACCAAGAGAGGCCGTTTCATCCCCGCTCTCCCTCCTCCTCCTGGTCTTCTGGCGCCGCAGCACACAGAGAGGACCGGGGGTTCGGGGGGCCAGTTCATGCCCTCCCCTCTTGGTCTACTGGGGCAACCACACCCAGCAACCAAGAGGGGCCGATTTACATTCCTCCCTCCTCTCCTGGTCCGCTGGGGTAACCACACCCAGCAAAGACCAAGAGAGGCCAATTCACGCCGCGTCCCCCCTTTCCTAGTCCTCTGGTGCAGTAGCACACAGAGGGGATTGGGGACCGGGAGGGCCAATTCATACCCCCCCCTCCTGATCCCCTGGTGCAGTAGCACCCAGCAGGGTCGGAGGGGCTAGCGCTGCATGTTCCCCGTGGGAGACATGCAGCGCATGGAGATTACCCTCCTGCTCCTGCCCTTCATCAGGAACAGGAGGGAGGAGAGCGAGGAGGGCCACAGAGGGTAGGGCCACAGAGGGCAGGCAGAAGGGCGAGGGCCAAAGGGCCAGGAGGGTCGAGGAGACAGCAGCTCCTCCTGATCACCCGAGGACCAGAGGGAGCTGCTTCCCTGGTGAGAAAGGAAGAAGTGTGGGAAGAGGGGTGCTTATATAGTGGTGGGAATTTATGCCAAGCCCGGATTTTGGCCGGTGGAGCAGGAAGGTTTGGGGTAGGGTTTGGAGGGTTGGAGGGGTTCAAGGGTCTTGGGTGAGGCGGATTGGTGCTACTTTCGCGGCTATGGTGGGATTTGGAGATTTGGAAGTATTGCTGCGTATGCGGGTGGGGTATCATTAGCGGTGAAGAAACAAAATTCAGCGGAATATTTAAAAAAAGTCCGAGTCAACCTGAAGGCCAGGGCCACGACCGAGATTCCTGGACCTCCCAAGGCTGTGTTTTCGCACAAATCCCCATCCCCAGCAATTCTGTGCAGTGCGTAAGAACGAGGAAACACAAGCCCCACCCCTCTCGGCACAAAGTCAAGCTAGAAAATAGACGAATAGCACCGGTACTTTTTCTCCTTATAGAAACCAAAGCGGAGGTTTGCATGCAGCTAGCCTTTGGCCCCTTTCGATCTCTCTTGTTCTCTTTTTTTGGTTTCCTTCCGGATCACCTCTGGGTAGCTATATTTGCGGCAAATTTTGTTTTGCTTGGGCAAGCCTAAATATATGTCCGACCGGGGGGAGGGGAAAGGAGTGGAAGCAGAGGGTGGTTTTATTCAGCAAAAGTATGCCACCTATCATGGCTTTTCTTCCAAGCGATCTTTCGCTACAACAGCATGATTAGTGATCTACTGAAGCGAACTCTGGGGATAAACGGGGGTGGCCTTCCTGCTGGTTGTCTATCACGTCGAAGGTAGGAGGATAACGATATATATGGGCTAGCTAGCACTAGGAGGACCAGAATGGTTGCACGCGGCGGATGTGCTTATCGAGTGATAATATATGACGCACATGGCTTAACCATTTTCCAAGCGAAATTCTGTCCGCAGACGGTTAGTGTACGTACAGATTATTTGTTATGGATCTGTTGAGCCTAAGTTAAACTAGGGAGTAAATTCTGTACTATAAAGAAACCCGTAAGACGGTCCTTAGATAGAGACTCGATATTTCATGTATTTATGCTCGTTCGGCCTACGTGGGTCAATGATCGATAATACAACATATTTGGTGTATGGCGTAATAAATATAGAAGCATAAAGATAAAGACGGATACGTATTTAAATGGGAACTAAAGTTTGGCCCGTCGTGATACCGTGCTCGTGGATCTAATCGTATCCCTCGGGGCCCAACATGTCCCCTAAGTTTAGGTCTAAATAACGAATACGAACGACTTACTTCTAGGTAATACAGCGTGCTCCACTCTATTGTCTCATCATACCCTATTATTTTAGGCCTTAAAGCGAGGCTGGTTGTTGGAAGAAAACTAGGAGAGTGAGTAAGCCCCGAAAATTTCGTGAGTATGCCCAACCAGATGTAAACTCCGGTACTCGGAATTTCCACGCTCATAGGTGCAACTCGACAGTAGAGTAGTCATTCATGATAAGTAAAAGAGAAGGAGTCTAGGCACTAGGTTCTCTTCAGCTGTTCCCGGCCCGTTCGCTGCGGCCAACCTGCTAAACCTCGGCAGGTCTCAGGGCCTGGGGAACCTCCTACAGCTCTTTTTCTGACAACTTTTATTTGCCTAAAGACAACGCCCCCGGGAATAGCGATGGGCAGGCCCACTAACACAGCTGAAGGCATGAGGCGTATACGTACTGCAACGGGTGCCCCATTATTTATGTGGGATCGTTTTCATTCGGGTCCTCATACAATGGTCCACAGACAGACTATACCGTAAGGACAGCTGCCAGAAGAAGTTTCTGGTTTGACAACAAAGTGATTTTTTTGCTGAGCGAGATTCAGGAAACCGCCATCTTGCCCCTCAAGCGCTACTGGAGAGTCTTAAACATGGGATACGTCCCTGAGTTGTAGAACGGGGGTTGTGGGTGCTTGGATACGGTGGAGAGAAGTACTGTTACACATGTTCGGGCCCATGCTTGTATAGCTACTACCCCAGGCTTCACTTGCTGGAGGCATATCTTCGGACTACATTGTGCTGGGTTAGTTAGTCAGTCAGGTCACCCATGCGCCGCGTGAGTGAGTAAAAAATTGGAGTGAGGGTTTGAATTCTGGGTTATTGTTGTGAGCCATGAACAATAGTGATGTAAATACTATACTGTAACAACTGTCCTCTGATGATGTCTCACAGTAGTCTCGTGCCCAGACTCCGTAGCTGGATTGTGGGCGCAGAAATTGATAAATTACAGCGTCCGGCGCGCGAGGAGTCTTGGCACGAGACTAGTCTCACAGCTTATATTGGTCAGTTGCTATACAGGCACCGACTACCAAAGACCAAAAAGGCCGGCTGTTGGGAGGGGGAAACCGGGCGCAAGCTAGTTATTAGTCGCATTCGTAGTATCTGGAATTCATGTTTGACCGCGGGGCGTATGTGTAGTTTGGCGAGAACCAAATTTGTTCCTTGGTCCTCAGAAACGCACTTCTGGCTTGGCGGTCGAGTGATCTGTTTTGAAGCAAAACTGGCTCCCAACAGCTGAGGTCAAACTTAACCGGGAGTAGCTCTAATAGCCATTGTTGTATTTTGTATATGGTGTGTAAGTGAATGCAAGATGGTGTGAGAATCTGGGAGGAACTAAAACAAGCAGTCTTGTATTTCTAGTTCTAGCTTGATGGATGCAAGGGGGATGGGTGTGTGGAATGGACGTTTTGTGGAGAGACCGCGCCGGCCTCTCGCTGGTGGGATGGAGATGAACCAGAAAGGAAGAAGAGGAGGGTGTAGAGAGAAATAGGTCAGATATTCCTTAAACACATTTGATTGTTTTCAAAATAGAAGAAAGTATTATTGAGTATGACAGGTGATCTCGTGGAGTGGGCGCTGGGCTATTGTAGTGTGATTACAGAGAGCGAAACCCCCGATACAAATAAGGTTTGCTGGTGCAACTTAGGTTCTCTAGGGTTCGAATGTCAGCCTCTCGAACGGGTAGTTGGAGCATACGTACAATACCAAAAAAGGGTATGGATTCGCTATGTTATTCCCATTAATGCGCTAGTAATGCAGCAAGAATACGGCATTACTACGGTATTCTTTTTGTAATGCCGGTTTAATTCCATATTCCTCGCTAAATCCCGTAGTCATACAGTACTGATTTCACCCCGTTTTTTCGTACTGTATATAGTACATCCTCGTATCCGTACTTCCGCTATCAGCCTGCCTTAAGAAAATACATGGCTTGAGATGGTGTGGTAATGTTTAATTTTGGGAACGCATCAAGTCTATAACGGAGAACACCACTTCACAAGCTTTTGAAGCCACTTCCAGGTTATCTTCATCGTCTGTCGGTTCCGGCTACAAAGACTTCCGGAGCCGGATCCGTCGTAACTTCCATGGTTCTGAAAACGGTAG